GCTGTTTCGTTACATCGAATTTTTAAAAATAAATTCTTTCTTAAATTAAATTGGTTGCACTAAAGCAAAAGCTTCCATGTAAGAACTAAATTTGATCAGTGAGTTTGTATGACAGCTATATGCTAAAGTAATTCGATCTGAAAAATTTCCTCGCAGATTCTTGCGATGTTTGAGGTAATAACCTACACGAAATTTCGGGTATATGCTTTGTCAACTAAAATAGTTTACTATACAAGAACTTGATTTGGATCGGTCAGTTTKTATGACAGCTATATGGYTATATGCTATATGCTRTAGTAATCCGATTTGAACAATTTCTTATGAGATTATATTATTGCCTTAARTTATGACCTTTGTAAAATTTCGCGAAGATACCTTGTTARATGAAAAASTTTTTCATACAAGTACTAAATTCCGATTGATCAGTTTATATGGCAGCTATATGCCATAGTGCTTYGATTTTGGCGGTTTCGACAAATGAGCAGCTTCTTGGAGAGAAAAGAACGTGTGCATGATTTCAGATCGATATCTTAAAAACTGTGCGATYAGCTCGCATATATACTCACGAACTTGACTAAATCGACTCAGCTCGTCAAGCTGMTCATTTAGATATTCATATGTTTTSTACGGTCTCCGACCCAAAAGGGAGTTAGCATCGCGACAAATGTAATTCCGATCGTTCAGGGTGGCAATTAAAAGACAACATAATTTACGGATTCTCCCAATACAGTTTATTTAATATTTCGGGTATGAAGCGTGCCAATTTAAAAACAGTTTGGTAATCAAAAACTGTTTAGGATTTTATGCTGATTAGTGAAAATGAAACTAATTTATACTTGAGCATTAATAAAAGAGATAACAAACATAGCCTAGATTTTGGGGCAAATACTAATAASAAATTAGTGTTATAGCAAAATTTAGCTAGGACACACACCATATGACCGTATATATCAAGTAAACGACTAACACACTTACATAAATGCCTCAAAAATATTACAGTAACCTTAAACAACACCGCTATAAATATGCACTCACGTATCATGCGATTTTATTGCAGTTTGTTTGCATTCACAAATGAATATATTTGCGTGGCACTGTCATAAATGTGTATTTAATATTTGGCAGTTGGCTTTTAATGCCATCATATACAACTGTATGAACTCACACACACAAGAGTTCACACTTTTATGCGAATATCATATAATACACAAAGCGCTGCCGAAAATCAACAGCATGACATTAATAAATGAGTACCAACATATTGTCGAATGTACGTGAAGTATTGTGGAAACATCATTAATTTCATTGCATCGACCTCGTTAACTTATTTAATTGCTTGTGTATATATTTTTTTGTTTTTTTTTTTTTTGTTTTGACATTCACATATGATATAGCTGGGGTGAGCGGTAGGCCAGCGGATATCTGTGTAATGAAATTTCGACATATGAGTATTTAAGAGAGAGAGGGTTTGGTTGTGTGGGTGAGCGCATAAAAAATAYCCGATTTATGTTTTTCGTTAATTGAGAAGTAGAAGCTCATTAAGAACTGACATTAATATATAGATTTGGCTTAATAACCAGGATAATAACTGTATTTATGTTTGGCGATAAAAAGTGAACATTTTGCGCAAATTACAAGTGTCTATAAAAAGAGCGAAAAGTAATTTGAAAGTGAAAGTGAAAGCTGTGTAAATATATTGAATTACAGAGTCAAATTAAGATTGCGTTTGAATTACTAGATTTTTTKATTAAAAGTTTAATATTAATGCACACTGCAATATTGAACAGTCAAAGCGGAGTTAATAAAATTTAATAAACA